TTCACGCCCCTCTACATGCCCTCGACCAAGGCCGACCAGGGCCAGCACGACGAGAACATCCACCCCGACGCCGCCGCCGCCCTCGTCGGCGCCGCCTACGCCCCGGGCATCGAGCGCCTCGCCCTCGCCCTCTACACCGCCGCCGCCGAGTACGCCCTCGCGCGCGGCGTCATCATCGCCGACACCAAGTTCGAGTTTGGCCTCGACGAGGCACCGACGACATTGTCCTCGTCGACGAGACCCTGACCCCCGACAGCTCGCGCTTCTGGCCCGCCGACCGCTACGAGGTCGGCCGCGAGCAGGAGAGCTTCGACAAGCAGTTTGTCCGCGACTGGCTCGTCGCCCGCGGCCTCAAGGGCGTCGACGGCGTCGCCGTCCCCGACGACGTCGCCGCCCAGACGGCCGAGAAGTACCGCGAGATCTTCGAAAAGCTCACCGGCGAGCCCTTTGAGGCGGCAGTCGCTCGCGTCGGCGCCGCGTAGCCTCGGCAGACAGTCTGACCCGGCACGTCGTTGCTGAAAAGCGTCTTTCTAGATATGGCTTACCAATTCAATGCATCTTCATGTTCCGTGGACCTTGCTCGTGGCATGCTCGCTTTGGTGACGACGGGAACGAGCAGACATCAGAGCACAGCACTGTCTGGCCGCTGTCTCAGTCTTGCCCGGCCTCGCGTCCATCGTCGACGCGACAGCATAGCAACTCCCCCTTGGGTGAACCAGAGCCTGTAAATGGGGGTTATCAATAAATCAGCATCACCTCGACACAAACACATCAGGTCAGCTTCTGTATTAATCCTCGCCTCCGCGAGCCATCCTACTCAAACATCAAGCGGCTACCAGCCACGCCTATGCCAGACTCTTATGAAAGAAAAAAAGAAAAAAAAAAAGAAAACCACGACCAAGAACATCCCCAAGCCAGCTGCAAAAGCGCAAACCGGCGGAGAGAAAGAGAGAGGGAGAGAGAGAGAGAGAGCAGCCCTGATGTCCCCGCCTCCTGACTCCGTTTCGTCCAGTCTAATGGGTCCCCCAAAAATTGATCCAGACACCCGATCCATCCGTTCGTCTTCCCTTTCTTTTTGTTGCCTTTGCCGTATGCTGTGTCATGGTGCTGTTCGGGTGGTCTCCCTGGGTAGTCCCGGATGGTGTGTCGATAGAAAATATTCAGCCCTGTACGACCACGCCTGAAATCATGCAAGCAAAGAACGCTGTAGCAAAACATAGGGACGCCGCATAGCCAGCCCGCCAGAAATCATAATGCAGTTATGCGGTAGCTTCGTTCGCGAGCCACCACACTTAGACGCGGCTGTAGCTCGCGCTGGTGCGGCTTCGCTCATCCTCCTCAAGCACATCGCTAAGCCTAGTGGGATGATGATGGGAAACCCCGAGGGACCTCTTCCCAGCCTGGCGCCCCATATCCCTGGCCCGAGTAATCTTGCTGTGGTGGCGCCGGCGCGTGCGGCACCTGCTGCGGTCTGCCCGATGTGGCCGGCGGCGGCTGCGAGTAGCCAGCGCTGGGCGGCTGCGTCGCTGGTGTCTCGTACTCTTCTGCGCCCTCGTCAGAAATCGGCGACGGCGGGGCACGGTAAGGAACCTTGTTCCCGCGCTGGTCGCGAATGTATTGACCGTGCGCATCAATCTCATACTCACTTTCGCTGTAGCCTCCTTCCGATCCGCCGCCGCCGCCGCCACCGCCATACGAGTAAGTCGCAGTCGCGGGCTGCGGATCGACAGCTGCCGGCTGCGAATAGAGAGGACCGCTGGTAGCGGCCGGCGCAGAAGTCGTAGGGTTGGCCGGCGCAGAGCTTTGCGCGTATTCGTCGCTGTAGGCGCTACCTGAATTGCCGGCGTATTCCGTCTGCTGCGGCGCGGTGCCACCCTGGCGAGCGCTGCCGTGGCGGCTGGGAACGCCTTGGGTCATGGGGACGACCTGAACTCCACCGACGATGGTGGGCTGGCCGCTCTGCAGCGACAGCGTGCGCTCGCGCTCCTCTTGCTCGCGGCGGCCGAGCTCCTCCCAGGCGCGCCGAGCCTCCTCCTTGGAGATCTGGAGCTCCTTGCGCATCTCCTCGAAGCGAGTCTTGTTCATCGAGTTGTTCTGCTCGTTCGCGACAGCCTCACGGATCGCATCCGCGCGAGCTCGACGCTCTTCGTCGAGAGCCGTCTCAAGCATGGCATTGACTTCTTGAGCCCTCTCGAGGTCGGCCCTCGTCTCAAAGAACCAGCGCTGAAATTTGCGTTCTGAGCTGGCACGGAGACGCTGCAGCTCTACGACGGCATGGAACAGGTTAGCACCGGCCGCTGACAGATCCGTGACCTGGCGGGACAGGGCTTGATTGACCGGATCGCGTTCGATATCCTTGTTGTTCTCCTCGAGGCGGCGAATCCAAAAGTTGGTCAAGCCCTCCCAGTGAGCAGAAAGCGTCTCCCAGCGCTCAAAGGCGTGGGGGAACGAGTTTCTAGGCCTCGCTCCTCCAGCAGCGTCGGATGGCTGCGCGGGAGGCGGCTGGGTTGCGGTGGCGGCGGGAGGCTGCGCGGCGCTGGACTGCCGCGGGGCCGTGTTATACGAGGTTTGCGGCTGTGACCGGCTCTGCGACGAGGCGCGCGCCGGCCGTTGCTGCACTGTGGTGGAGGTATCTCTCTGTCGAGAAGAAGCGGGGTTTGTCCGCGGCGGCGCGGCGTCAGAGCCACCGGTTGGCCGGCGTTGCGGTGTCGTGGGAGTGTGTTGTGTTTGGGAGGCAATGTGCTCAGGGGCGGCGCCACTGGCTTGGCCTCCCGCAGCAGCGCCAGCCGCTGCGGCTGCGCGACGCTCCGAGTTGCGTCTCTGGGTACCCTCCAGCAGCTGGGCCTCCTGTTCGGCTCGCTGTCTCTCTGCATGCATCTGCTCCTGTTCAGCCCGTTGGCGCGCCGCTTCTCTCGCCGCCCGCTCTTGCATGATCATCCTAGGCCCGCGAATGCCTCCGGGAGAGCCGGTAGGTGCAGGAGCGGCAGCGGGACGGGTGCGCGAAGACGGGACGGGGTTGCCATTGGAGACGGGCGTGCTGCGGCCGCCGGATCCGACAAGGTCAGCCATTTCGCCGCTCTCCTCGACAACGTCGGGCGTGAAGGGATTGGGGTGGCGCAGGGCTTCCTCGAGGGCAAAAAGGATGGCACTGTGCGTGTTCTTGGAGATGCGAAGAGCGGGGTGGAGGTTGTCGGTCTTGTCCTGTCGCCTCGTTGAGGAGGGGGATGCCGCGCTGCCACTCGGGAGACGGTTCTCGG